AGTAAAGTAAACTTAAAGAATAGAGGCCAGTAAAGTTTATACTACATTGTTTGGATAAAATCGATGCATCTAGTGCTATACGTCTGCAATTATCTCACATAGAGTTGCTACTCTATAAAAATCTATTTAAAACTCGTTACAATGTACACAGTATGCAGCTCTCTATAAATCCACATGTTTTTAACTAGGCTCGTTTCTGGCTACGATCCAGATTTCAAACATTCCAAAATTGTTAACAGTAAACAGTCAACGCGTGTGTAAATAACGTAACGGTAACATTATGAGTGCGAAATGAATCACAGATTTAAATAAAACTTAAACAGAGTCTCGTTGCAAATAAAATTGCATACAAGAACTAATCAGATTATGCTTTACAAAGCGTTTATCTTAACTGGGCATTTATTTTCGAAGTCAATATCTAACTGGTATCCTTGATTGCCATCTTTCCGATAATAAAATGTTGGCAGTCAAAGAAGTAAATTATGGTTTGGTTCAATGCCTCTATACTTATTATGCAAACTTACTTGTATCCTGCTAATATATTCATGAGGGTGCTCTTCCCGGCGCCAGAAGGTCCCATGATGGCGGTAAGCTCGCCTGAGCGGAATGTGCCATTGATGCCTTTGAGCAGAGCTTTGTAGCCGCGCTTCCTTCCCTCACTCACGGAGTACGAAAGCTCTGAGAACTCTATGTCAACCGGCGGCCGTTTAGGCAGATGTGTGAGGGAGGCCATGGGCTTTTTCTGATCGCCGCAGTCGTTGTGCACCTTAGGCACGAGGCATGTTACCGCGACGGTGCCCGCGCCGCCATTGCATAGATTCATTTGTGAGCTCCTAAAAACGTGAATTAAGCTATTTAATAATATTTACTTTTTAATCGCATTTAACACACGACATAGTTTTTTCTTAATATCATATTTTAAGAGCGTTTTATGCTAGTTAACAAATTAAAAGGTGGCATACGAATTGAAATAAGCGCCCTTAAAGGGTCTACATTAAAGTAATTAAATATATTCTTTTTTTAATATTAAGGAAGTAAAATAAATTTAAAGATACGGTTTTATTAAAACGTCAACGACTTGTGCAAAATAATCGACGTTTGTGTTCATTAGTACAGCTATAGGCCGAGTTAACAAGATCAATGCAACAGCGATCAAATCACTTTTACACAAGAGTTTGGATGGTGGCCAATAGCTTTTACAGGAATCGCGAAACTATTAACAAATACATAACACCAAGCTAGTTACAATAAAGCCCTATATACGTGATCAGAGTATTAGCTAGTATTCACAAATAACTGTCAACTCTTTCATTATAATTATGAACGTGGCTTACAAACGTATTTTTTCCTGCCGTATTGACCGGTTTAAAAGTACGCTTATGAGCCAATAACCAGAGGTCTTATATTAAAAAAAAGAAGTTATAAGAACTGACAAAGCATAAGATATTCGCTCGAGGTTAACATAATTTATTAATCTCAACAACTTCATCCGTGTTAATAAAATAATGTTTAAAACCTTTGCATGTAAAATATGAACAGCTTTCACCCGCGACTGCGGCCGCGTGGTATTAAAAAAAACAAAACCAAGTTCTCTATGTCTTCTTTCAGATCCAGATTCCTATCCTCTACATGTATGCCAAATTTCATTAAGATCCGTTCAGCAGTTTAGGCTACAAACTCTATGAAACATCCACCCATCCATCCAAACTTTCGCATTTATAATATAAGTATGATAAAAGATCATGCTTCAAGTAATTGACAAATGTTTTAAAGCAAGAAACGATGGATTGTTTCGTTATCAACAACCAGTTATTTAGGACATCGAGTAATCAATACGTATAGGATACTGTGATGATGCAAACTTCGTTTTATGTTTTCTTATATTCCGGTTCGAATTTAGCCGTTTTTATTTTTATTGCACTTGTAAAAAACACAGAGTAATTGAGATCCTCATTTAATTCGGTTATTGACCTCTGCATTTCTTACTTTATTTTACGCATGCAATTTAAAAAACTGCATCATTATGAATTTTTGTATTAAATTGTCTATTTCTATATTAAATCTTACTAATATTATACTTATTTTATAAATGCGAAAGTTTAGATGGATGGATGGATGAATGGATGGATGAATGGATAGATGTTTGTTAGAGTTTGTAGCCTAAACGGCTGAAGGGATCTCGATGAAATTTGGCATAGATGTAGAGGATAGTCCGAAAGAACACATAGGCTACTCACTTTTGGTTTTTTTAATTCCGCGCGGACGGAGTCGCGGGCGAAATGTTATCTATAAAATGTCACAAAAAACATCATGTATAATAAAAAATTTTAAAATCATATTCAGTCGAAATCCAATTATCTTGAATATCATCGAAATCTTGAAATATTCTTGGTATGAATAAATTGTTTTTAATATTGTTAATAAGACAGCAAAAAATAATTTTAAATTCGATGACAATTTAAACAAAAGAAAAGTCGAAACGCTAGATCAATAGGTGAAAATAATTTGGGCAAATACAACTTCGAAACATTAATTAAAAGAATATGTTGATTATATTGAAATATTTGGTAGCAAAATTTTGACTTCGGTGAAATAAAGTAAAATTAGCAAAAGTCCTGAAACAATTTTGATAACAAAAGGCATTGATTATACGAGACAAAGGAAACCTAGATAGGTTTTTTGGCTTGTAAAACTTCACAACTCTTTCTTCTTTATGTACATTTTGTGCAAGCAATAATAAATGCTATTGTCAATTACGTGTACGGAGTAATCGATGAAAGTGGCGTAACGTATTATATTTACTAACGCCTTTATGATCGCGGGCGAGGCAACTAGCTCAAGGCCTATATCTATTTCAATCTACAGACTACCTAAATTACAGAATGTTCATGCCACATAGAAGTTTTTCAACGCATTACATATTTCTAAAGAAAAAATGAAAGCCTGTCAACATCCTTATTAATATTATGTGAAATTGTATTTCTCAAACGCCTTATAAAATCAACGGATCTTTGGAAAATTTATGTCTACTGTCATGGGTATAAAAAAATATTTATTTCCTTAACAAATAACAACAAAGTTCCCAGTTGACTTTAGCAAAAAAAAATACCTAAGTGATATTTATTTCAAACTGATTATTCTCCAGTCTCTGTGTGTACTCTACTCTGTGCTGTACCTTTCATAGCTTATATCCTACACGAACTTTAACATTTATTTCGGTGCAATCACCATAGCTTAGTGCTCTGTAAGATTAGATTCTAACTAGAATATTCGACACTTAATTTCATCGGGTCTTATCAAACTGTATATTGATTGAGTAATCTCGTATTGTATTTTAATTAATAACGCACTAGTTCTATTTTTTAAAACAGATAGGTTAGCAACAGCTGACATAGGTCAATGACTTGATTGTCACAGGCCTTGGCATTAAGATGAAAAAGGTAGGTACTGTATTTACGTTTTTGTAGAATTTTAATTTCCATATCGATAAAAGAACGAATTAAAAAAAACATCCCAGAAACCTCTCAGAGCACAAAGTGATGTACAAAATATGAACTCACATAACTCTAAAGTAATACATAAAGTACTATTTTATAATTTCCCACAGGTCATATTATTTGTATCGTAACAATTTTAAATGAGTTCATTTATTACTTTACGTTTAATCAACAATATTTTGACATAAGGTAGAATTAAATTTAGTTAATTAAAATCTAACAGGGGTCGATATTTGAACAGATATGAAAGGCTGATGATCATCGTCATATCTTGACAGTTAAGAATTATTTATAAACTTAATAATACAAATATTTGAATACAATTTGCATTGTGTTTAAGGAACTGCTTAAAACACTCAGAAAGTCCCTTGATGATGAACTACGTGATTATTTTATTTCTATCTCATACTTAGACACAAACGGTCTCCTTAAAAATTAAATCTAGCAACATATATTTAAAATCTCTTTAAAATTGAAACCCTAAAAATCTTATCTCTTAAATCAGAAAGTCAATCTTCTGCAGTGAATTAACATATAAAAATGTTTCCTTAAACCTCAAACTGTAAAACGGTCAAACTTGTTGCATACACATACATACATATTGACCGGTAACGGGGGCGGTATGACGCAATTCCTATACATAACGGATTTTCTGTTATTTTGAATTTTTCATCTGCTTTGCGTTTTAATGCATTAACCATTGTTTTTGCAAACAGAGTTCATTATGTTTATGATTTAGTAAAAGTGTCCCCGTGGTAACATACATGTTAGTTTTAGCAAGTTTTTAGCAACTAACTTATTGTTAGTTGTAATAGTTGAACTATCTTATCGTTCTACAAATATTTTTAAAAGAAAATGGTGCAAAAGAGCAGCAGAAGACTGAAGTAATCATCAATGCCCACGGACATCTGCAATACCAAAGAACTATAGATGGTTTCCCGGTCTTAGAAAAGGATAGGCTCGCTCCTTGGAGATATATTTATAATCGTAACTATATTTAAAAAATGTTTAAGGTAAAAGACTAAGGAAAAGAGCGTTTACAGTTCTTTGTCCCCTCCATTGTGGCAGAAGCGAAGCTTCATCATTTAAAAGTAGATGGCTCACAAATTACGTGCTATTCAATTCTTCGGTGCGAAAACTGACACTACAGTTAATGCCAGCAACAAAATAACAAAAGATTCTCTACATAAAGTAAAAGGCTTTTACAATACAATGTCTTTTGAAAATATACGACTTTTTCTTCGAAAGCATCGAGAAGGAATGTTCAAAGTATGAAAATCCGAGGCCATAATTTGACTGGAAAGTTTTGTATGACTATATTGTCTGAAAACGAATATAATTATAATAGGAGAAAATATAACAATACACTGACCATAAAGTTTAACCCAGGATTTAATTTCCAAGCGACAAAATTCGGTAGTCTCCTTTTTTAAACGATAAATGATGTTTTTCTATATGTCCAATATAAGTAAAATACGCCTTCCCAAGTATATTAAGCTTACCCCGTGAGTTGTCCATTGTTAAGCTGCTCCGGCGACTTTAGCTGCGAGAAAGTAACTTTGTCGTTGAGGTCGCCGCGACTACCGCGCCCCATCAACGGCAAATGGATTTGCGTGCTCTTTGACTCCATCTTTACACCCGGCGTCATCGCACACTGACCATCTTGTGACACCAGACCCTAAACAAACAAGAGAACATCTAAATCACAGAGTATGTAGCCAAAATGAGTCAATACGTTCAAGTTATCGTCTATGGATGACGTAGCAGACAGGACACAATCAAATTTAACTCCGCTTGATACAAGCTTCTCTTCTGTTCTTCTGATATTGCGGCTGACTTCACTAAATCGATAATCAATATTGTTTTTTCATTAATCTTACATCAATATTATTTTTATTGATCACATACATTCAATTGCTAAGTTTTTTATGTCGAGTTCTGGGTCAAGTTTAAAAAAGGATCGTTTGTTACAACTTAGTCGCGATTTTTTACTTGTAAAGGTATTGTAATAAAAAAAAACTTTGAATCGAATTGTATTTATACAGGTTTTGTTTTTTAGTAAATCTCTTATCGATGTCGGATTAAATCTATGTAAGCTGTAAAAGAAGTTACAAAATCCTTTACATTTCGATTTAGCAAACGATTCGTTGGATCATGAAATTTAACAGGCGATATTTTTCCCGTCGTATTATGTAAGATCGTGAGCCAAACTATTGCTTTTATTTCCGATGTGAAAGTATCGCAACAGCCGCAGGCTTGTCTGTCGCCATTGTCGAGCTATTTTTGTCTAGAACTCTCGACATGGAGAATTTATTAGTCAATGTTTTAAAAGGTTTCTTTTTAGAAACTTTTACTTTTAAATATAACCTGAGAAATACAATGTCATACTTGTAGCCTTTCAACAAATAAAAAGCGAGTAAAATAGCAATAAAACTGATGTTTGGGCATTCGATATTTTTAACAAACTATTCAAGATTTAAGAGCATACATGAATCTTTTATAAGACCTTTTATAAATCACCGAAATCTAAATAATGAATGACGTCAATGTCGATAGTTCATGAAAATCAATTTGACCGTTAGACACGACGAAGTCACGAACTAGTAAACAAAATAATAACATGAATCGATAGAAACCTTACGAACAGTTCCGCTAGAAGCCATAGACAGTTAAGCCTACATATTCCGCCTCAAATGAAGCGTGGCAATTATGTTTCTTCATATTAGATCAGAATTAACTTCGGATATGTATTACAAATAAATAGATAACTAAATGTCTAATAATAAATTGAATTTAATTCAAATTATCGGATAACAAAGGATTAACACTCTCAAAACCATACAAATGCTTAAAGTAAAGATTGTCAATTAAATTTGTTAACTCATTAGAGAATTAATATATACTACAAACTCTAACATAAATAAATAATAAAATAGATAGTAAATATAGCATAGACATAGACTCTTTAATTCCTTATTTTGCAAGATTATGTTATGTATAAAGATAAGATAATTGCGAGAGTGGCTGAGGGCCTTAACCGACAAACAATGCCGACTTGTTGGCTAAGTACATGTGGAGTCTGTATTGAGCAACATTTATAACACAGTATTCATTAGAAATGTCTATTCATTTCCAACAATATAAGTGCCAGGAGCTTTTTCTATTTATATTTCTAGGTACTTAGAAATAATTATTACTTATTTAACTGTTCTAGATATTTTTTAATTGCATTCCCATAAAAGCTAAAAGAAACTTAACATACTTGAACGTAAAAATATTTTTAAATAATCAAGATGTTGAGGTCAAGGTGAGCACTGAGGCACGTGCCTTCAAGCACTCGTAAGTTGACACACCTCGTGTTCACACTGACTGTTGACATTGTCTTCAACTAATTGTCCTTAACAACTTTCGAATGAAGATTTTATTTCTTATTTTTAGATATATCATATATTAGACTGGGATAAAATAAATGTAACAGTAAATCCTCTACACAAAACACAAATAGAAACTATCAAAGGTATGTTTCATTAAATCTGGAGCACCAAACTCACACGATATTATCCCCACAGAAGCGTTCTATTGATGAATCAATAAAACATGGGAAATTATTAAGTACTGATTACGTAGAGATTAATAAGTAATAAACTATCATACCTGAACCCAAGTACCCGTCACTGGAGCAAACATAACTTTTAATACACGACCAGCAAACGCGTTTCGTCTTCCCGGACTGACGCTCGCAGCAATCGGAACACAATCGACGCAGTATTATCATTTCTGACGCTCATCGGCTTAGCAACAGAATTAAATATTAATGTTATCAATTGGAGATAATTCAAACATTGATTTGATTCCGTACGATTGCACCTGTCTGTATACTACGTAATGAATACGTGAAATTTCTTCTACAAATTTTCACTACGGCCTATTGATATGCACTTTAAGAAATTAAAATAATAACTTACTTTACATATTTTCTACAAACATGTATGTTGGTAGTAATATATGTACATAATAAGAGTCCAAGTTGACGACGTAGTCAACTTGACACGGATTCCGACCCTCACGTCTACTTCAAGACAAGTCGGAAAAACTCAAATACATAAGTGTTTCGTATTTAACTCCGACACGTGCTTACTTACAACACAATTTATGTATACCATAAACTAAACTATCGCACAACTGTTGTACGATTGTCAATTGTCGATTTTTTCGCAGCCCTTTTGAACTGTTTATTTACACAACTAAAAATCAAGTAGTGTGCTCACCTCCATATAAGCTCATAGGAATCAAAGCGAGACAAAACGGTTGTGCGATGGTTTAGTCAAAGGTATAAGCACTCTAAAGTGTACGAAATATAGTAATTTTATGATAATTTTATATGAATTAACAATTTCTTGTATGAATTTAAAATAAACATAAAATAATTGTTTTTTAACTCTATGTATTTATTTAAATACGAGTTCAAGTAACCTTCGGGGAAAATTATATGAAAAATTTAATATATAAGCGTGATTCTTCACACATATTAACTAATATATGTTATCAGCAAGGCCAAATGTAACATGTTATCGATCAAAATCCTTTCACATTATCTAAAATGATAAAGTACAGTAACCTTATTGTATATTATTGCATCGTTTTTGTCTGGATTCCGTTACGAAAACATTGATAGAACTAATAATCATATAAACCATGTAAGTACGGCGAGATGGGTTGACAGCCCTGGGCGCCTACATAAAATAACGCCCCATCCATATTTAAGCGGCACGTGCCTTTATAGAAATGTCGCTTATTGTGCCCGTAATGCTAAAACAGGACTTAAATGTACCCTTAATTTAAGACCAAAATCGTACTCTTCCTATTATTTTAAATTATTTGTAGATACAAAAACATTTAGAAGTAGCATTTTCTATTTTATGCTTAAAAACTATTCGAATATAGTGTTTTTATTCACAGATTTCTAACAATAGACGCCCACGGCGAATAGCACCGTTAATTGAGATTGTTTCAGAAACAAAGTCCATTAAAACTGCTCTGTGGTATAGAAGTGGGACACTAGAATGTATTTTTAAAATTCTAAACAAGACGGGAAATGTTTCGATTGAACACGGGTTTTCCCACTTGCGCGATCACTAGATAAATATTAGCCTAGCAAAATATTAATTAGTATTGATAAAATGGTAATTATAAGTTTGTAAAAGATCCATGATCCGGATATTCCGATGAAGTATTTTTGATATTTAGTCAATTTAATGATGATAAATATGTGATTATAATTCTCAACCTATCTTTTAGTACCAATAATCAATTGAAATCAATTACCTTATTAAAACGACTAGTTACTACAACCCAAAAGGATTTTAAAGGAATCGACCTTGATAAAGCTTTCAACGTTCTGTATAAGGAGTTATGACAAGGAAGAACGACCCCAAATAATTGGAAAAGAACTACTTACACGTGTAATTCTTTGTGATATATTTGTATGTGTGAGTTTCGACTTTCTGATATCTCTACAATGTTGTTATCACGTAATTAGTGCTCTATCACGACGGTAACTGCCATGCTTTAATCGTCTAACCAATCGTTGTTCCAATCTAGGATTTTTATTACAGCTACTGTTGCATACTGTTACCTATTAACATTTAAATGTTCAGAAAAAAAGTAACTATATCTATCTACACGTATAATAAAATTGGAGTGTATGTTTGTAATATCGAAAGAAACATTTCAGATTTTGTCAAGATCATATATTTGCGTTGCTGATGACGAAAATCGCATTTAAAAAATTTTTGTATGTCTGTCCGCAAATTGCGTTTGTTCCGGGTGATTTCCGAAACGACTGGGCCGATTTCGAACTGACTTTCACTGAAGGGTAGCTGATGTAAACGGACATATTATAGGTTAATTATTTTTCAATTCCGCGCTGTCAAAATGGCGTAACGTGTGTTCCAAATTTGCGTTTGCGGGCGATGGTTCGTTTGAATACAAAATTAATTAATCTATAGTGCCATAACTTAGGATTACTCGTGGGTAAATTTTACCGATGACCTCATGACGTCACGCGTTACTGACATTACTAGAAGGGTGTTATCGGAAACCGTCTACGGGTAAGATCAAAAACATTCATGCACTAAACGACGTTATGTTTCGACACTTTGTAAAGGTGTCACATTATTAACTAGGGTTTCTTTTACCTATAATTTTCCGGGGTAAATAACAAAAGTCTGGATACACAATTTACTGGTGACATAAACATTAAGGCTCAATAACCCGGACGATACGATGTCTGGCTATTGGCTCGCCACATCGATCCGGTGTGCGTATGCAACTTGTGCTCATAAAATATTCAAGCATTGACTAGGCAACAACGTAAGCATATTAGCGACAGTGAGTTTACTAGAATTACAAGGTTCCAAATAAAGTTTTTATAATTTTAAAAAAGTTATTTGGTTATATCTGAAGACAGTAAACCACTTACGAAATGTATTCAGTCAATTGATTAATTAAAATCTTTACTAAATACTTAATTTTTTAGACAGATAATTCGTTTTTCTTGTGTTATCAAACGTATATCAATATGTTTATTGAATGTACGTATAAGGAAACAAATCTACAAACACGTTATTTAACAGACAAGACAAGACGAAAATCTATTTATAAATAAATTTTAACTCATAAATACCACTGTCCGAACTCATGCCAAAAAATATATCTATAATGTCATGCCAAATTCTCGATTGGTATTAAAAAATGATCTTGAACTTTGGGTTTTTAAGTTTTTTCTTAAGTAATATTATCTGTTCTTAATTTCGCTTTATTATAGGATTATGAAATAGATTTTTGTTTACAGGAATAGCGGGCAAACGAGCAACGGATCGCTTGAAATTAAGTTATCCGACGCCCATGATGCCCATTCCATAGAAACATAAATTATACTTAACATTAGGTCAATACAGCGTTTTAGTATTGTCTACGAAAATGATGTTGCAGTTTTGTTAAATATTTTTAACACAAAGATGACTCATATGTATAACATAGGTAGAGTTAAAATAAATCTTATAAATGTAGTTCACTTAGTTACTGATGTCCATTACCTTTGCCCTTTCCATTATCAAATTAATACCATTAACGCCCTTTATCGGTAAAAACTAAGGATGCTTTGTCACTCTGACCTTTTACTTAAGGATATAAGATTACTCACTTCTATTAGCAGCCAATTACTAGCAAATATACATTACAATGTCGTAGTTTCCTTTGACGTTAGAGGTATTAAATTGTCTTCATGAATTTAATTAGTTATATTTTACTCTATGTTTAACAATAATCGACAATAAATAAGGCAGTTAAACTAGAAAACTGTTAAATCGTGATTTAAAAAAAACATAGGTAAGTAGCCTCTGTGTTCTTCCAGAGTATCCTCTACATCTATGCCAAATTTCATTGAGATTCATTCAGTCGTTTAGGCTCTAATATTCTTCCAAACATTAGCATATATAAAATTAGTAAGATAAATACTTATGTGTGCTAGCGGCATTGTATCGGGCCGTGACAATGTGACCTAAATACAATATTACATATTGTTCTATTTAGATAACAAATACAAAGATTTTATAAACAACGTACATAGATTACATTTTCAAAACTATAATTTAATCTATAATTTAAATAACCGTGGGTTTCCACCGCGAGAACATTTGTACAAAGACATTCTCATCTCTTTCTGACTTCTATATAGGAACCAAGAAAATGGTTTGACTGGACGGGTCTATCATCAGAGGAAGCACACAAGACTATAATAGTTAACGGGCATTAAATATTATTTATCATTAAAAAATAACACGTAATCATTATCATACGTTCATAAAAACATTAAAAACACGAAAATGTTTAAATAACATAAATCACGGCCATTTGTAATTGGTTGAATTATTCAACATCCGGCTATAGACAGATTATAAAAACTCTAAATAACTGAAAATAATCTATTTCTGGAATAAGCATGTTAAAAATAACGTGAAATATCGGTTGCTAAGCAATTAATTTGTATCTGAATTAAATACACTTTTTTGCTGTAGTAATTGTGTCAATTTTAGGTTATAAAATCAGGTCAGTTTTTATTGAGGAAGGATTCTTTTTTATGAAATAATTTGAATACTTACTCACGAAGAATCAACAAACTCGTATTAATAATATACATAGCTTTGTTTTTGTCATCGCAGAAAAATTTTCAGGGAGGAAATATTTTACACAATCGGTGTAAAAGTCACTAATTGTTGATTTTGGGTTCGTCTGATCTGAGTCAAATAAAAAAAAATCTTTTAGTTACTGTGTGACAAACAAAAAAAAATGTATCTCAGAATCGCACATTTTTGCAATATACATTATCCCGAACATTTAATTAACATTAACATTTAATTTTTGTTGCCTGCAACTAAAAAAAATCGCGGAATTAAGAAAAAAAAATCAGCTATACCCATCTACAATTGCATCCTTATCCGTTAAGACGTTCTGATTCTATGTTATAACAGTCATCCATTCAAATCTTCTAATAGTGAAAAATTACATTCCCTATATTTTTAATGAATTAATTAAGCGAATTTATGTGAAATAACTTTGTTTTGTATATTTCAAACATTTACTCAAACCGGTTGTCATACGTCTCCGAGTATATGATAAACATCGTAAGACATGAGTCATGAACTGAGAGTTTAAAACTATACAGGA